ACTCTGAAGAGTTTTAATCAGGAAAGGATGCTGTATTTTGTCAAATGCTTTTTACACAGAATTTTAAATAAGAGGCATTACAGGGGCCCCTGGGTGACTCAGTTGGTTAAGTGTCTGACTCTTGATTTCGGCTCAGGTCATGATCTCAGGGTCGTGGGATTGAGCCCTGCGTCAGGGCGCACTCAGTGCAGAGTCTGCTTGAGAGTCTCTCTCTCTGCCTGTGCCCCTCCCCATCACTCAAGTGCATTCGGGTGCTCGCTCGCTCTCTCTCAAATAAGTAAATAAATAAAATCCTTAAATAAATAAGAGGCATTATAATTATAAGAAGAATGAAAAGTCTTTTGGGCCGAAGGGGAAATACTGAAATAATCACAGAGAAAAGATGAGGGGAAGTGCTGCAGAGTAAAGGAAGGCTTCAGTTATGTTTCCACATGTAACGTGAAACAGCTTGGGGCAATGGAAAGAACATGGGGAGTGGGAAGAACTAACTGTGCCCAATTCTGAGACTTCTGAGGAACAGATAATCCCTGAGGTCCCCTCCAGCCCCACATTCCATAATTGTCTAGATACATAGGAAGACAGTGGAAATGGAATCCTTAAGTCGTTTACTAGTCTTCTCAAATGATAACAGACTTTGAATAGAGCCTATTCATATTTACTTCCTTTTCTGTCTAAAATTAACCCCCAAAGCCCAGCCTCATCCTTCTGTCCATTCACCTCCTCATAGTCACTCACACTCCATTGGACTCAAGTCCTCTGAAGGGCCACTACCCAGGCTGCAGGATCCATCTTATCAAATTCCTGTCAGGAATGAGACTTCACCCTCTGGGGCTTCATGAAATGGAGGTTTGGGATTGTTTCTTTGCCAGCAGTTGACAAGCTGAGCAGCTTCTCTGCTTCCCTCAGAATCAGTGATAAGATTATAAGGAAAGCAATCTCAGAGTGCTGCATTTGTTTTCCATCAAGCAAGGGCTGGCTGCATTCAGTGTGTAGAGATTAGTTGCTGGGGCAGAGGACAGCAAATGAGGCAAAAAGCAACGAGGAGACTAAAAAGTCATTTGAGTAAGCTTATGTCATGAGGTCTGCTGTAGCAACTCTCTCTGTGTTTCTTTCAGGTGGCCTTAATTTGAACCCCTTAAAGTTCCTGGTTTTTGACTGGAACTGGAGAGATCAGAAGTTGAGAAGGATGATGGACATTCCCGAGGTACCATGTAACCAGCAATTGCCTTTAACCTTTTTTTCTTCAACTTGAACTTGAGTTCAAATACAGTAATAAAGTCTTTGATGTGGGGAGCCAGCACATTCTGGCCATTGAAATGATTTCTATCTTTTAACTCTGAAGTAACTGCAATTATAGAGTCCATCTCACTCCCTTAGACCTAACTGTATCCTTTCCATGTGTCTTATAGTAATCAGCTTTGTTTCTTCCTTATATGACCAATGACCTCTGCCCCACTGGGGACCACTATATCTATACTGAACCTTTGAGAAACAGGAGGATCTGGAGGACTTGGCACATTTTTGTGTGCCTTGCTTTAGAGACATATTCGTCTTTGTCTTTCATCCTTACAAATGTTTGAGGAAGTAAGGGCACAAACTTGCCTCATGGCCTGCATCTCCCATACCCAAAACCTCACTTAATACAGAGGGCTATTTTGTTTTTGTTTTTGTGGGGAAATTATTTTGATATCTCCGTGGATTAAAACTGATTGATTGCCTTTGTGGCCACAGCATTAGCTCATTCTGTATTTATGAAAGTAATCCATTATCATCAAAATGTGAAAAATTGATTTGCCACCTACTGTGTATCATGGGGCTAATTTTTCAATCTAGCCCGATGTTTAGAAGTATCTGTTGGAGAGAAGAAGTTTTGTCCAATAATAAAAATGGCTGCCAGTCACCAACCTAATTAATCATGGCAGTAAATATCAAAGAGATTTGGAATTAATCCTCCAAACATGCTGAATAAATTAATTTACCACGTAAAGCTATATCCCCAGAATGACCAACCTGATTATGATTGATCAGTGAGCTAAATTAGACATCAGTACAGGTAAAAAGACAATTTTTTCAGTTTCCTACACACACACACACACACACACACACACACACACACACACACACACCCCTGTGCCCTGAATTGACTGGTTTTTTAAAACCAGTTCAACAAATTTGATGTTAGGCACATAAGTCCATATTTATTTCAGGTACAGTGTGAAATCTGAGTAATCCACTGTAAGTTTTTTAATTATAATGATAAGGAGAAATTGTGTCAAAGAAAAAACCTTGTCACCCAGTTATTTGTATTATGTTGATGTCATCATTATCAGCCATCCTATATTGAAATATGTGTGCAATATAGCCATACTTTAGGTATTTTGAAACACCCTTGTATAAGATTTTTTTATGATATTTTATTTGGAATGGTTACAAAGGGCACTTTAATGAAATGGATGTTTTATTTAGTACCTATCCCTTTACTTAAGTAAATATTTCAATTCTGAATAAAACATAGGTTAGGATTTTTGCCCTCCCTGATTCTGGCCATAACAGCTACACAAATACCAAGAAGTCCAGATGGTTGAATTTATTCACCAAGACCATCTTTTCTTGATCTTAACCTTTTTTTTTTTTTTCCTCATTTAGATAAGAAAGGAAGTTTTTGAACTTCTGGAAATGGGAGTCCTCAGTCTATGCAAGTCTGAATCTTTGAAGCTGGGCCTTTTCTAAGTCTGGGTCCTGATGAAAATTCCAGTTTTTATGGTGGGATTTGCATCTCATTTAATGGCTCTGGAATACTGCAAGGACTCAGTAAATATCAGCTGTTGTTTTATTATGTTAACTGCATCACCAGATGAATCACTAGAAATTTTTGGTGGAGATTCTTTGACAAAAATGAAGCTGTCCTTTGCCAACTTCTTTGTATAATAAAGTATCACCAGCTTGTATATGATTTTTGTTGAGCAGACTGAATTTTTCTTTCACCAACTGGTCTCTGATGTGACTTTGCAGAAGGAAAAGAGCATCTGGGCAACCTTAGCCAGGCCACTTCCCTCTCTGAGCCTTAGTTTCATCAGCCACAAGATGAGAATGATATCTCCTAGGATTGTTGAGGCTTCCATGTGATGGTACTCGTGGAACAGACTCCTAAACTGAAGCCTGGTCCCAGTGTGAAGGGTGCAGTGGTAGTGATAGAAAGAGTTGCAGGTGTACGTGGCACTTTGCAAATATATGAAAGATAACAATATCTACAACTATCTTAATTATTTTGTACCTTTTTATTTTAAAAGAATATCAGATTTACAGAAAATGTCTGGTAATACCTGGGGAAGCTATCTACACAGCATTAGAGAGAAATGAAAGCAAGGGCTTAAAAAATTACTCTCTGAAATTTCTCATGATACCACAATATAACAACTGCTAGCAAATTGTCATATCCATATCAATCTAGAACTGTGGATCTTCAACCGGGGACAATTTTGCCCCCCAGGGTCCATTTGCTGTGTCTGGAGATATGTTTGGTTGTCACATGGAGATGATACTACCAGCATCTAGTGGGGAGTTGTGACTGGCAGTTATTTAGTAGGTAGTATCCTTTAGTCAAGGATGCTGCTCAACGTTCTACCATCCTACAGGCCAGCCCCCACAATAAAAAAGTATCTGGCCCAAAATACTAATCAGTAGTACTGAGGGTAAGGAAACCCAGTTCTAGAAACTTGAAAAGCAGAGTATATGAAGTATATCTGTATGCTTGAAGTAGGTTTATTTAGAAGAGAAATATGTAAATATAAAAATGTAAAGTGAGATCTGGCTATCTCAGGAATGTTGCCCCAGAAATGTGTTCCCTTAATACCTGTGATGGTTAATTTTATGTGTCAAGTTGACTGGGCCAGAGGTTGCCCTGATAGTTGAGCAAATATTATTCTGAGTGTTTCTGTGAGGGTGTTTTTAGATGAGGTTAACATTTAAAAGGGTGGACTTTAAAGCAGATTGTCCTCCCTCATTTGGGTGGGCCTCATCCTGTCAGTTGAAAGCCTAAATAGAACAAAAGGTTGACACTGCCCACCCCCACACACCCTCCACAAACCACTCCCCTCCCCCGCCACCCACCCCCGTCCCTCAAATAAGAGAGAATTCTGATTCCAACTGAAACATTGGCTCTTGCTGTCTGATAGCCTTCAAACTAGGACCTCAGCTCTTGTGATTTTACAGCACCTTTTGGCCTTTAGACTCAAACCGAGACATCAGCTCTGCAGATTTTGGACTTGCCAGCCTCCTCCATAACCACGTAAGCCAATTCCTTCTAATAAAATCTCTTTACATACATCCAATTAATTTTGTTTCTCTGGAGAGCCCTGACTAATATACTAAATGAAAGTTCCTTCTACTTTGAGATTTTGGTTAGTTTGGTTTTGTTGTTTTATAAAAAGCCTAAGAAATTCTGTTCTTACAGATTTGTTACTATAATGACCCTTTTGCTAGGTGTTATCTATGTAGTATAATCCCACCCAATGTTGGACCAAGTTCCCAGGTGGCAAACATACCTGATTGTTTTGTAGGCCAACCATGCATGTGTAATCTAATCTTGTAGGCTGTTGCCGCATTTTCAACCCAAGTTCTCAACCATGTTTATTGAGTAAAACAAATAGTCTACGTGAATTAGAAGTGTTCGCCACCATCTACTCACACAAGGCTGATACCGGCAGCCATACTCGTCACCATCTCCAAGCCAGATTCAAGTGATGTGCTGAAAATTTCCCCCTGGTTTTTGCTTTTCCCAGCTTTGCAAGTGGGAAGCTTTGACTCTGAATTGGATACCGTCTAGTGTAAGTATTGGCATTTATTTTGTATGCTTTTAAACTAGGTACACCTGCCAAAGTCGTTGCCTTCTTTAATATAAAAATAGTCTGGGGCACCTGGGTGGCTCAGTCAGGTAAGCATCTGACTCTTGATTTTGGCCAGGTCATGATCTCAGGGTTATGATATCGAGCCCTGCATCGGGCTCCACGCTGGGTGTGGAACCTGCTTAAGATTCTCTCTCTCCCTCTCTTTCTGCCCCCCCTTAAAAAAACAAAATGAAATAAAAATAAAAATAGTCCAGCATGGCTTCTCTGCCTAATGTTAATAAAAAAGGAAGATTAGAAACTTGCCTATTTTTTTTAAATCCTAATTCTATATCTTAAATACATTTTAAAGAAAAGGAAGTAATTATTAACAGCCTAATGAAACGTTAGGGGATTTCTGATAAATGAGAGAAACCCCAAGCCAAACTAATAATACCATATTGCAATATTGAACATTTAACTGATTATCTATCTTGCCCTTCCTTTCTCTCGCCTCATTTGAGCTACTCCAAAGCACTTGCTTGGAAAAAATTTAGGAGGAGATGTTTTTAATGTACATTTTCTACTAGAGTCTTTCTTATGGATAAAAAAACTGGCAGCTGCTGAGATTAGACATCTGTGTTCCACAATCCCTGTTTGCTTCCCTCTTCCTCATTATCACAAGTAGCAAAGTTAGCTGTAATCTGAGAGCATTTTTCCAATTTAGTTTATATTTATGTTAGAAGCAGCCATGTTTGGAAAAAAGCTGATAGCCCTAACTTTTATTTTTTGTATTAATCTCCAAGGCTTTAGGCAAGTTCTCAAAGATAAATCCATTTTCCCCCTTTCAGGAAGGGCTTGCCTTGAATTAGTCACCACATCCCAGAAATAGCCCATGATAACTGCTTCCCAATGTGGCCAGATGCCGGTCTGTGCAGACTCTGCTGGGGACTATTCCTCCTAGGCATGGCATTTAGCACACATTTTTTGAGCCTAAAGTGAACTATACCAATGGCTGACTGAAGACAGCTGTGTTCCTGCTGAATCTCAGGTTCAGTTAAGGAACAATTCTGGGAAGTAGACTGCAACTACAAAGGAAAGTTCGTCTAATTCTTAATTTAGCACTACCATTATGCAGTATTACTAGGAGTAATAATGTTATAAATGCCTTGTAAGTGTATCTCAGTCACCTGCAGGACCAGAATGAAGAGGACGTCCAAGGACGGCCGGTGCAAATTGCCAGACAACACTGCCTTGAAGCAGCAGCAATTGCCTGCCTACCGGCTGCAGCTCTCAGCCACGGGAGTCCTCTCCGGCTTTTTTGCCACAGGAGTGTTCTGCCTTGGTGTGGGCATCATTCTTATATTGAATGCAAAGAGTATCAAGGAAATAGAGGTTTGTCCCATCTTACATTTTTAATGCAGATTCTAAGAATTTTCAGCTTTGGGACTATAAATGAGGGACCAGTTTGAGAACACAGCCCCTCAACAGATGAGACTAGAACATCCGTTTTTCAGTCAACCGGTGCAGATGGTGGTAGCCTCTGTATGTTGGCTTTATTCACCCCTACTCCCTCTTGAGGACAATCACTCTCACACTGGTCCGCTCAGCCATTCATTTCCAGGAACGTGGCAAAGTCAGAAGTTTTTTTTTTTTAAAGATTTTTTATTTATTTATTTGAGAGAGAGAATGAGAGACAGCACGAGAGGGAAGCGGGTCAGAGGGAGAAGCAGACCCCCCGCTGAGCAGGGAGTCCGA